AATCGAAAAAGAAAAACAACCATGATCCAAAAAATAGCCTAGTCAACTAAAACTTCTTAGTCTTCTCCGTGAGACCTTCAAAATTACAGTGTTGGTTGTTCCAGATCACTAATTTTAAAAATTTTCTTTAGCAACTACTACTCTTGCAATTATTTAACCACATCTACTTAAAAATATCTTTTATAGCTCATTTTTTCCACATGATATTAAGACTCACAAGGAAGGTTAAACGTTGTTCACACACAATTAACTCATTATCCATTTTCTGCTTTCATACCCTCATATCTGCCACTAAGTTCTACTCTAAAACTAAAACTGGAAAATCTACTGTATGTAACCTTACCGGAAAATTATGTCCACAATCTTGAAACTTTGACACCTACGCTCGTAAGGATGGAACATCTAACCTTTGAATTTAAAGCAAAACCAAATTGGAAGTCCCAGCACGTTGATCTCAAGCAAACCCATTTATGAGTCATTGCCCTACCTCATTTTTCACTTGCCGTTACAGAAATAGAATTTTTTTAAAGAAAATAAGAAAAAAAACATAGAACATGATATAATAAAAAAGCTCTGCCTTCTACGAAGGACAATAATCGACCATTATTTCCCAGCAAATGATATTATTTTTTTTTAAAAAAAAAACTTTTTTCTTTCAAGTTTTCTTACACTCAACAGTGGAAAGAAGCCCTAAAAACTATATTTGTTTGAATATCACTCAAGGCATGTGTGCCTACCTATGTTACCCGGACTCTTCTATTTAGGAAGAATACCCGTGTCATGTCGCGTCGACATTGGTGTGGGTATGAGTGTCGGGTGTGGCATTATAGCCTAAAATGTTCGAGGTTTCTAAACGATTGACGCATATCTTCAACCAAAAAAAAAAAGCAAACATTTACACACCAATTTCATAAATACGAAAGAAATGAAATATCCTAAAAGCAAATCCAAAAAAAAAAACAATTAAAAAATTTGCACATACAAACACAAAAGTGAACATCAATTACTTGGTGCAATAAAATTAACTCAACCACAACAGAAATCTGCATTGCAAACAGAAGCCCCACATAACAAAAGTAGAAACCAACGAAAGCAGGAAATTTAAGGAAACAAATCACAAAAGCTAAGCTAAACAAAACATACCATTGAAAAATTAAATGAGTTTGAAGCAGAATGGTGGTTCAAAATAAAGTCACCAATAAACCTCATGAAAATAGACCTCCACATCAAACAAACAAAAGAAAAAAAAAAAAAAAAAAAA